GACAAATGGGGCAACGCACGCTCTTAGGAAATCATTTCCAGCCTTAATATAGATTTCGGTGTCCGCTGTTGGCGTAGACTTATGGCTCCTTTCAAAGCAAGTTGGAGTTTCGATGTGCTTTTGGAAGAAAACAAAAAGGAAAAGTATATTAAATGATCGACGAACGCTTCGATAAAAGAAAACTTTGCAACATGTGAGATTGAACTATAATTTTACTATTTTTCTTCTTCACTATCGAAAGTATATATATAGAGTTGAAGAAAAAAATTGAAGAGGTATTTTGCTTGAAAACTCGAATAAGAATTTTTTTTAAGAACGCAACATTTTTTCTGACAAAAAACATTTCGTATATATGAAAGGGTGAGTAAAGAAATTTTTTTTTAAATTATTTTTTAATGATATTTACAACTGTATCAAAACATTTGCTGAGCAACTACCCAATGGTAGCACTCTATGAAATGTCTACATTAGGAAATCACGGGGTCATCTTATCAAACGCCTCGGAGGGCTATCAGAAATTAAAGAGGAAGCAAGGTTAGAAACGAAGGGATTGGGTTACTTTTGCACCTAACTGTTTCAATTTTTCATTCTGGCTTAGTTAGATTTTCCTTATCTGAAGAAGTACAGTAACATCTCTATAGTAATAGGCTAATAAGTAACTGCAAGTCTGTTGCGCAAGATCAAGACCAAGACCAAGACTGAGGTTGCAAGACCAACACTCGTCTCGTTCTCGCATTTGGGCAACACTACTATTTAATTATATATTAAAAACTCATGAAAACATAAGAAACTCATCTGAACATAAGAAACATTAAGGTCATTGACGGTTTTATTTGAAACAAAGTAGGGAGCTTTGAGGAATATTGGATTACGAAGGATATTGGATTGTAAGGATTGGGTACGAGAGGAATTCGATGGTTTAGTGGAGCCCCATAGCCCAACTCCGTAAGTCCAAATAGGCCTTATTATAGTCAAGTATATGAGTCTTTTGTAATTAATTGTATGATTAGAGCGTTTGTCTAGTAAGTGCTGAAGTAATCGGAAACGTCGAGCTTTTTCTTGTAGTTTCAGTCTGGTATGAAAGAAAAAGTTAGAAAGGTTATATTAACGGCAATTATAGTATTATTGTAATATATCCATATATCATGATATAGTCATACTACAACTCTAATAAGAGAAGCAGAGCAGATCGGCCTACAATGAAATGAAGATAAAATAAAATATATATCACAATAAGCTGAAAATTCCACTCCAATAACAGGATCTACGTAGAAGCAAAATCATTCCTTTGAGTAAAAACATTCAAATACCTCAACTCCACAATAACCTCAATGAATGACCAACGGGCAGAAATAGACTAGCGTATAACTAGCGCAAACAGAGCTTTCTTATACCTTTCAAAGGTATTGAAATCCCGAAAAATCTCAAATTAAGGGTGTACAATGCTATGATATGAAATCAGAATACTAACGCGTGGAAAAGAAAGACCAATTACTACAAAAGACTGCTTACAGAAACTGGTCAATCAATATCCCATGATACGAAAGCACGGAGGTTAAGTTGTGTGGGACCTGTAACACGTAGCAATGCAACTGGAAGCCTTCATGCAACAATGAACGACTCAATAGAAGGCAAAACACCACGTGGAAGGCCAAAAAGCAGATAGTTAAAGCGCTCTCGCTCAAACTCCAATGGCTTTAACACCAGTGATGCGGTTGAGAGAGTATCGCAGGGATCTCTTGGAGTCCTGCTTTTCCTTCTATAGTTGGAGGGAGAAGCCTGGCTTGGAGTTCCCTGCCTGATTGTATATATTGTATATAGGTATGACTGTGTTTTTATGTTTGTAATTTACTTATCTTTAGGTTATTTTATTTTATTTTTTATTATTATTTTACTTTTGTTAATTTTATATTTTCTATATATATGGTGTGAATGTGTTCATATATCAGTATAAATATTGTCCACGTTGGATTATTATATTCCTAAATAAATAAATTTTAAAAACAATTCCTGAAACAATTTATATAAGTCAGTATTGATTGGCGATAGGCTTACGTTGACTTAATGGCGGATTCGTGTCAGGCTAGCGTGCGAAACAACCACCGTCTCTCTAATTACTAAATTATTTCATTTGTCAATTCAGCGAGCAACTTATTTGTAGAAATTATTCAGTGAATAATTCAAGCTTAAAGGTACTTATTTTAAGATAGTTATTTAGAACCAGTTACAGCAAAGGAATAACAAGATAATTTCAGCTTAATATCCATAAATATGCCAACTCGTTTAATTTACAAAATTAAGAATATTTTCTGCTATAATTCGGCTTCCAGGTTGATTATAAATAGAGGAAAAACGTAGAAAATTATTTAGGGAATTTCATTACTTTTCAAGTGGCAATAAACAAACAAAAATGATAACTATTCGAGTTATGTCTAATTTATTCATAGCTTTTCCTCAGTGGCGCATTTGAAAATTTAAATGACTTAAAGAGGACTTCAGACAAATTAGATCAAGATAATGCATCAAACGAATGAATTCAGTCTCGATAGACTGAATTTAATAACATGTTGGATCATACCTGGAAGGTAACAAAATACATGAAAAATAAAAGATATAAGGAAATATTAACCTACTGAATCGTTGAATTAAAAAAAAGAAATAAATATAGATAAAAAATCAAATGAATATAAATATGTAATTGAGAAAAAACACCCCGATTGGAATTAGGTAGCATCCAGAGCCGATAAAAGCACTAAACCATCGGTGATTCAATCGATGAATAAGTGAACGCGCTGAATTCCATTTCAATAATTCCGCTTTGAGCCGACAGACTAGTGAGAATTTAATGCTGAGGTTAGACATTACAAAAGGCCTTTTTACACAGTTTTTCGATCGGTTAGAACGGTGTAAAAGAATTTCGTTATGTCCAAGCAGATCCATTATTAACTCTTGTGATCAGGAAACACCTATTCTTTAAAACATGCTGCATATCCCGCCATTTTGCAAACTGTGTTATCATGTGACTCGGGGATTTTTTAAAAATTAAAAATGTTTGAGATGACCGATAAACGAGTTTTAAAATTCATTTAAGTGATAAGAAACACACGTCCATGTACACCATTAAATTTGTTAACATATGAATACATAAATAAAATTGGTATATTTATTTATTAATATGTTTACATCTATTTTTTGTGACATGTTAACGTTTCACTTCTATATTAGATACTCATGGCTTCGTAATTTGGATTTATCCGTTCATACCGTAATTACATTTATTATATAAAAATGTGCCCAGGGGCAATGTGCCATGTGAAAATTGTAACGTAAAATACATCACATAAAAAATGTACTTTTTGTGAGAAAAAAAACGATTACTTTAAATATAATTTTACATGAATGATAATAATGCATTAAAATAACACAGAGATGTTTGCTAATAAGGTTTTTGATTACATATAGATAGCAAGATATGCCCAAATAAGCTGTTTTGGAAGATAAACAGGATCTCATAGCATTGGACTAAGAGAGAATACATATTTAATTTATTAACAGGAGAGCAGCATTCTTTTATAAAAACCCAAGATTATTTGAGCCTTTCAGTTGACAGACTGACTAACTGCAATTTCAACATTTTTAAGTAAAGTCATTTTAGTGATATTTCTAATTGGAAAATTCATAATATCTATACCAACAGTAAGTTGATTCCATATCAGGCGATTGCAATGTTAAAAAATAGAATTGCGAGTAAACTAATTAATAATATCACTAAAATTACTAATAAAAGATGTCAAAAGTGTGACCAGTCATTAACCATAAAACATGTTTTGGAAGAGTGCCCTTTTTAAACCGCAAGGTTAAAAGATCTCGGAATACCCCAGTATATATCAGCATCCCTGGGAAATCAAGAAGAAATCATTACCAAAGTTATCAAGTTTTTAGATAATGAAAGACTTAAACAACATATATGACAATTTTATAAGTAATGATCACTTGCAGATTTATTATTATGTTTTATTTTTATCTATTTACATTATTATTATTTTTTTTTTATTTTAAAAATTTATTTGTTTATTAATTTCAATTCATTTATTGATTTAACTGCTACTTTTTTAAAGTTTATTTATTTATCTATACTATCTTATTATCTATAAGTGTCTATTGTTATTTTTATTTATTTATTTCATTCTATCAATCCTTTTATTTAGTTATTTTTATCCTTTTTTTTTTATTCTTATTTTTTGGACCAACCATTCAATAGTATAAAAGTAGTGTTATTTAGTTGATCAGGCGCTGATGACCTGGATGTTTTGCGCCGAGACATCGAAACAAACAAACAAACTAATAAAAATTATTGAAACCGGAGTTAGTCATTCTGTCAACTAAAAGGCTCATTTATAACTCTAATTTAATTTATTATTAAAAAAATATCTCCATATATTGTATAACCTATTTACAATACTTATAAAGAAAACGGCTTAAATCGTCGAATTTTCGCAAAAATTAACCATTTTTTATTGAGTTGAACTTTTAAGAACGTGCACAGTGCACTAAACTGACACAAACCATTTTATATATAGTGTCAACTATAGTTAGTTCAAAGTTGTCTGTAATTACAAATTACGAAATGTCACTAAATGACCTTTTGATATAAATATAAATCGATATTTATGTATAGTTATGTGTATGTATATATATATTTATATATAATTTTCTTATGTATATAAATTATATTTTGGTTTTCTTGTAATTTTAAGGATTGTAACCTAGTTTTTCATTTATATCTTATGTAGGTTTTTTTATGAGGTTTTTCCTACTGTAAAAAATGGATTTCCATTTTCTAAACAGCATTCATACCACTAGTATGTCCTGCATAAGGTTATTGCAAACACAAACATGTAATTTATCATTATGACATGATGTAATGTATATTACAAAAAAAATCGATATTTATAATAAAGATATTTTTGTTTCTATTTTATACTAATATCGATATCAAACATAGCTATCGACAAGAAAAATCGGAACTTGCTCGATATTTTAACAACTCCAGTTGTATGACCACGTTTTCTTCAAAGAAAATGTAGTTTCTGCTCTTGGAGTATAGACTATTACCATACTCCGACTCTTCCTTCTTCTAAGGGCATCAAATTACCGTGAAATGACCGATTACCACCGGACAATCTACTCCTCTCTGGATAATACGGCAGTTATCCAGGAAGAGGATCTGGAGCGGACTAGAGGAACTTCACCTGATCCAGACCTGATTATGCTTAATGAAACGATGATTTACATCAAAACTGCCTGGGGACGGGGGCACGAGCTATCGGTATCAAAACTTAATTTCCATCAAATCTGCATAATATCCCCGCTCCTTCCACCGTCACGCCATTCCCTTTGTTCCCGCCCCTATCAAACGGGAGCAAGCAGATTTGTGATGCGCTGCGTCCGACCCGGATCATGGATGTACTGACCGTGAATGTGGTGCGGGATGCGCGGGTTCGATTAAACAAAAATCTAAATTTAAACAGAAATCAAGAACAAAAATATATTTCGTAATAATTATTTTTACGTCATACTTAAAAAAAAATCCCTAAGCCTCATAAATATTTGTATATAATTAATCAGAAAACTTCTTATTTTTATTCGGTTTTTAGAGAGAAAAAAGTAAAAGCTATACCATAGATGGGAGAACCGCGGCCTCTGTAACGTAATTGAGGCCTCCAAACCTGTTTGTGTGATATTAATTAATCTAGTAATAATAATAATAATAATAAATGATGGAAATACCAACTCAGGCTGCGCCGAAAAAAATCGGAAATATCAAACTCTTGCAGCCGAGTTAAAAGATCTGTACAGACTGAACAAAGTGACAGTAAGGGCTTTAGTGATCTCTAGCAATGGGCTGATTCCAAAATCCACTGTAGAAGCTATAGAGGTGTTGGATCTCTCAACAGCTACGACAAATGAAGCCCAGAAAGCTATGCTACTGAACACAGCGAGAATAGTAAGGAGCTTCCTAAATATCCAATGAAACTATGAAAGTTAACGTGAAGTGGTTGAAGTTAATTCTTCAAAATCCAAGAAAATATCTATTTTTAAAGTAATAAAAAATAAAGAAGAATAATAAAAGGCTTAAATTTATATTATTTGTCATAAATTTTTATTTGTAATAATAATAATAAAAGGCTTATCAAACAAGAAGGTTCGATGCCGACACCACCAATCGCTTATTACACACCTCCCTCCGTCGTTCGCAGTCCAAACCCAGTCCATTCAGATTGGCTTTAATGCAATCTCCTCACCTTCGCTTCGGTCTACCTGTCGGACGTTTACCGTTCGGTACAGCAAATATTAACCTTTTAAGAACTCTATCGTTACTAAGCCTATTTTACTCACTTCGATGTAATCCCCTCAATTATATTAACCGAATAAAGTTCACGCAATTCGGCGTTGTGTGACCGTCTGAACTCATCGGTTAAATCATCTTTCTTCGATACCAATATTCCACACAATACTTTATTTTCAGAAACCTTAAGACGTTGATCATCCCTTAATGTAAGCGGTCAAGTTTTGCCTCCATAAAGAACTGTAGGTAGGATAATATAATGCAATTTAATTATACTTTTCAATTAATTATATTAATATGTAATATAATATATTGATATTTTAATTTTCTAGTTACATCCTTCAGGTTTGGTGCCATTTTCTCATAATTTATCATATATCTATTTTAGGCCAAAGGTCACCAAAAAAACATAGTTTTTTTTTAAATAAAAAAATTGTATTTTTTTTGGTGACTTTTGGCCTAAAATAGATATATGATATTTTAATTATATTTGCAAATACGAATAAAATTATTCATTATTTATGATATTGTAATTTAAGTATAATATATACTTTTATTCGTATTTGCAATGATTTTCTAATAAATCAGTTAATAAAGTATTTTTTACGCACCTGAATCGTTTGTCCTAATATTATAGACACTGTAGAAATTGTAAAACGTCATTGACAGTTAGAGATAGCATTACAAAATAGAATTTCTTTTGAATCTAGTTTAGTATCCTTTTATTCGTAAAGTATAAAGGATATATTAAGTTTTAGTTATTAAGTTCCGAGACGAGAGGCGGGAGGCGGGTTATTTTGTAACAGAAATATAACAAGCATTCCCAGCCTTTAGCCCAACCTTAATATCCTATTCAATTTATTAATCTAGTGCTAAAAATAATTAATATGTTATACGCGTGAACCTGAAGATTCACACCATGTTCTCATGCAATGTGCTGCTCATATATATATATATATATATATATATATATATATATATATATATATATATATATATATATATATATATATATATATATATGTATATTTAAGAAATAAGTATCTTGATAAATATATTGATAATAATTATGACGATAAAGACAAAGTAGAACTATTACTACATGTAGAAAATATATACCAATTCAATGATGTAATCAAACCTAAAAACACTGTCATCACCTATACCGACGACACATGTATCCTTTCAGTTAATAACGATCCATCAATTGCATCCCAAACTATTTTTTTTTCATAGATAGATTTAATAAATGGAATCAGCAATGAGTTTAGAAACATAGCTATAATATTTTTTTTCATTGAGAATATACCACTCAGATCATTTAGAAGTGGACTTTTCATTTACTTCATATTATTGTAGATTTTCTGTTTTCCTATCTTCCTTCGACTTCCCACGAAAAAATATACTTTGATGAACTTCCAAAAAAAAAAAAAAAAATTAGATCTCAAACCCATATTAACATAGTTTATGTTAAGTAAATATATGTATTTATATGTAGATAAAAATATGTATCTTAGCTTATGCAGAGATTGACTATTTCTTCACTTTCACAGGATGGGTTAAAACTCTCTTGGAAGGAAATATTATTCCTAAAAGATTAAGAAGTGTCTCCAAAAGGATTACAGCTCCTAAAAGAATGGAAACCTGGCCAGGAAACAATGGTAAAGATAAATTCTTTTTTAACAACTCGCGAACTTAGACAGTAAATTTAAAATGTAATTGAGCCCCCGATACTCGCGAAAAAACGATTCCAAATGTTCGTTGGTAGTTCGTCCCAACTTCAGAAGCTCCCCTTAATCCGACGGCAATTCTTCAGAATCGACGACAAACACAAGTTCGCTTCATCTAAACCTTCAGAACTGCAGACAAAAATTGGTCCCGTTTAATATTTTTTTTTATTTAAAAAATCAATATTTTTTACTACATACTTTAAAAGATCGAAACCCAATATATCAAAACGCATAACTCCTCCAATATTCATCATATTCATCGCTCTCGAAAGAACTGTTTCCTTTACCTCCTAAAATAGAACAAAAAAATGTTTTCATTGCTCCATATTTCTTTTTACGAGTGATCTTAGTTAAATACTTAACCTATGGCAATATCCGGTGGAACGAGGACAAAACTGTATTATTTTATATATTTTTTTTAATTTTCAAAAAGACGTTTAAAATCAAATCGACATTATTATATAATAAATAAAATTATTATAATATAATAAATAAAGCAAAATTTGAAAAGATAAATGAACTTTATACTGGTACAGCAAATTTAAAAAAGATTTAGTCCCTCTTACAAAATTGTATTATTAGAAGTTGCGTCGTTATTCCACCGGCGACATTAAGAGTAATATATTCTCTTCTTAAATTATACGGTAAATACGATATTAAATATATACAGGTAAAAACATTATTATCCCTACAACTCCGTTTATTAAATATATTAAATTATAGTACGAGTTATCTTGGGAGATCAACAACTTGGTTATTGTGTTATGTTTAACTTATCTTCACGAATGTATAAATTCACAATTATATTTAGAGGTTGCTACAATTTCATGCATATATATATATATATATATATATATATATATATATATATATATATATATATATATATATATATATATATATATATATATATATTTATTTATGCAGTTTTATTCAATATATATTTTAATAGGTAATACGGCCCAGGTAATTTATTGTTTTTTTTTCATGTATTGCGTTAATTCTTATATTTTATGGTACAATTCTATTTCTTTCAAAAGCCTTATAATATTGTCTATTGAAACCTCTGAGTCTTTTCATGCTAGTTCTCTACAATGGGGTATTTTTTTTAAAGGCTTAATGCAGTAATGTACTTACATATGTATTTATTATAAATAATAATAATTAAAGACTTAGGGAACCCGGAGATTCGATGCCAACACCACCAATTGCTTATTGCACAGTACTCTCTCCACCGTACGCCGTCCAAACCCAGTCTCTTCAGATCGAATGTATTTATGATATATATTAGTATTTAAAAGGTTCATCTTCGGCACTTCAAGGCAGTGTTATAAGCTTTACGACGAGTTAAAATAGCACTTCACTTCTTCCCGTCGACAATCCTTGAATCTTACCTATTTCAAACAATCAACTCCCGGCATCCTTCCTACATCTACATCCCAGAAAAAAAAAAGATATACCTCTTCCCATAGAACTAGAACATTTGAACGTTTCCGTTATTGCCTGATCCAATGCCTTCTGGAATTCCTTGCTATCTGATATCCACCCTCCTCGTCCTCATTTATAAACCATCATTACCCATTCCTTCTCACATCACAAAATGACATCGTGCAATCATGAAATAAGTTTAATGAATCGAATTTTGATGGATGTGAAGTTTTAATTTTATGAATCACCTCATAGTGTTTATAACTTTTTATTCATAATTATTATTCTTAAGAGACCTTGTCATAAAGTTTTTTTCTAGCTATCTATCTAATATCACTTTTTTTTTTTCTCAAAAATTGTCTGCCTATGAGACCAAAATAGGCAAATATAGAGAAGGTTTATTCAATCAGGCTAAATGGAAGTCAGTAAAACGAAAAAAAAAAAAATCCTTAGCAACAGTTGTGTAATATTTTAGCACCAGAAACTCTATACCGAAATATCTCTTTTATATAGGCGAATATAGGCGGAGAAATCGGTAGGAAAAAAAAGAAAAAAAAAAGGGATATGCCTTTATGAATACACTCGAAATATTCCCTAAGCTGGCTCAAATCAAAGGAAATCGTTTGAAACGAGAGAGGCATTTGAGAGAGGGGCAAACAGCCGAATGAAAGCTATTCATTCCTACACCGGCAACTTAATGTAAATACTATTCAGTGCTTGCATATGGATGGTGGGGGGGGGGCGAATTAAAATGTTTATACTGGATCCCCGAGTCAGTGAAATTAAATTTTCTCCGAGGATTAAGAGTTTATTCAATTTAAATAAATGATTCGTGAAGGGGACACAACGGTTGTTTTATTCCTCCATTATTCATGAGCTCCCAGGGACCAATGATTGGAATAGGGCACGCCTTTTTCCTGTTGGATGGCTTCCAGGTCCTGGAGAAGAACCTCCTCTCGTTTGTATAATCAAGACGAGGAGGAGAAGGAAATAAATGTCTATAAAAGGGATAAGAATTATAGGAGGCGAAAGGATAGACCGCATCTTTAATACAGTCAAATCTTTTTCCTTCTTAAATAAAATAGCAGAGCAATCACCAACATTTTTCGATCCGAGCGGACATTTATAGGTTAATTTTCAAATATAGGGCACCAATTTGTTTTTTTGTATTTTCCTAGATTTTTAATAGTTAATAATATTAACAAAAACATGGACCACTTCTATTCATGAAGGATCTTGAATTCAGGACTTAGTAAGGAAGTGCTGTTTCAAGGGTAATTGCGCATGTAGGTG